GTAGGTCTGGGTTCTGACGGCAATGGAGAGGTCTTCAGGTTTAATCTTGAAGCTGGCCGATTTATGCAATCTTACAAAGTAGATGCTGGAGCTGATACTGGTACCGAAGTTGGTCTACAGGGCAGTAGTACGTTATTTTGGAACATTTTTTATCACTTTCAGCATGCCTCAGGCTCGTTGCCAGGATTTTCACCGTTTACGGCAATTACTGACTCCTGTCTTTGGATAGTCTGGGCTCCCGCCGTAAACGCCATAGCCATCGCAGAAAATACACACAATCTCCTCGCGTTCGGTACTTCCATTGGTTCCGTTGAGGTAATCCCTATTCCCGGGCTCCTCGCTAGGAAATCACTAACAGGATAACCGATAGTTCTGGGATCCACGTTCTCGTTCTCGCATTGCTGTTTTAGGGGGCCAGGAGGGGGAAGTCACTGCGCTTGATTTCAACGACTCTGGCCTCACAATAGCTACAGGCAGTTCCACTGGCGTGGTCAAGCTTTTTGACATGCGCAGTCCCAAGCCGCTTTGGCAAAAAGATCATGGCAGCGGATTCCCAATAAAAAACCTCACACATATGACTACGTCTTCATCAGAGCGCAAGATCATGTCGAGCGACAAACAACTTATCAAAATCAACGAAGAATCCACTGGACAGACTTGGACCAGCATTGAGCCAATTGTGGACATCAATTTCACAACCTGGGTTAAGGGAACTGGCATGATTCTTACGGCAAACGAAGGCCAGGCGATGCACGCTTTCTTGATTCCTCAACTCGGCAACGCACCACGCTGGGCCGCACATCTCGACTCTCTAACAGAGGAGATGGCAAGTGAAGTGGCTACAGACAACTACGAGAACTACAAGTTCTTGACACTGCCCGAATTGAGATCTCTCAGCATGGATCATCTCATTGGCAAGACAAATTTGCTGCGACCCTATATGCACGGCTATTTCGTAGCCTCGAAGCTTTACGAGCAAGCCCGATTGATCGCCAATCCATTTGCCTTTGAGGAGGAGCGTGCTAAACGCGTCAAGGAGAAGGTTGAAAAGGAGCGAGCCAGTCGTATTCGCGGCAACAAGAAGGTTAAGGTCAACCAGAGACTTGTTGACAAGTTGCTCAAGAAGCAGGAGAAGCGAGCCACAGTCGATACAAATGCTGGAATTCTCGGAGATGAACGCTTCAGCAGGATGTTCGAGGATGAAGAATTCCACATTAACGAGAACAGCGGAGAGTTTAGGGCACTTAACCCAAGCACACGGGTTGACCCTGAAACAGGTAAATCACTTGTTCCTCCCACTGACTTCTCGGATGAGGAGAGCGATGAGGGTGGCAGCAGTAGCGATGAGAATGATTTTGAGGATGAGTCTCGTAGGGTAAGGAGAGACTCGGTTGTCATGCGTGTCAGCTCTTCGAATCAGGAGAGTAATAGACAGGAACGAGACGCGGCATTCGGCTCTAGAACTCAAAAATCGGGCCGCCCCGTAAAAGCTAGAGGTGGTGATGTAGTTGGAGAGAAAGAAGTCACATTCGTACCGGAGACGAGAAAGAACCAGGCAAAGACGGACGAATCCGCAATATCAACATCCGAAAAGACGCGGACTGCGGCGAGACGTAGTGCTAGTGCGAACGTTTTTAGGCGACTTTGATAACCGGTCACTCTGTCCGAAGAATACAACAATATTGATACAAGGACTAAAGCCGACTCTATCTCTCGCAATCAATCCGTCCAGGACAAACCTACAGTGCCCTCCTATCAAGGCTATTCAGTGTCCCAACTTGCCGTTCCCCATGTACCAATGGCAGCTCTACTTCTTTGGCCACTTCTTGCTTCGTCCTTCAGGACTTTGTCGGAAGTTTGACTTCGCGAGCCCTTTCTCGATATCTTCGGGTCGAAGTTTAGGCGTGGGAGGCACGTCATTGAGTCGAACACGGCCTCGAGATGATCTTCCCGATGATTCTTTGACAGACCTTGGAAACTCGGATCGACGAGGTGTCAATGCGGTGACGACCTTTCTCGCTGACCGTCTGATACTCTCCCGAACCCTCCACTCCCTCTTCTTGGCGAGGTAGAAAAGTACAGCAGTTGAGACTATACGTAGTCAGATATGGATGTTTTATAGATTCTGAAATGGATAGTACTAACTGCCTCCAACGACGACAACTGCCACGACGACGATGATAGCAATAAGAGCACCATGAGATAGTTGAACAGCTCCGGGGCTCGAACCAGCAGCACCAGCTGCATCGTCGACGGCGCCGCCCGCATTATCGTTCCCCGGGTAGGGGTCGGTGGTGGCCAGAGGGAAGTCGGCGGTGTTGGTAGCCATAGCGAGTGTTACGAACCAGCGTAATAAGTATGTCTGGTAAACCCGGCGCCTTGGTCCTACTTAGTAGCACAACGGCTAGCACAAACTCGACTGATTTCTTGTATGGCTAGAGGTTTGACGACCAGAGGTTTGACAGCCAGAGGTTTAACAGGAAGGAAAGAAGGACTGAAAAGCGTGCAACCGATTCATGAGTGCCGATAATATCTTATGAGTCGGTGATGCACGGCGGGGTCAGAAGAAGTTCAAGCGCTCAGGACAGCCATTTGGTGAACAATGTGATAAGACGTGCATGGCGGACTAGATGTAGGGAACGACACACTTGATATCGAAGTGCTTCATGCACGTTCCGGTAGTTGCCGGCCCAAGACCCTGACAGCATCCTTCAACCCCCATTGGACATGCAGGTACCAGACCTCTGAAACCAAGTAATAAAAGCTGCTCTATTTTCATCACGGTCGATGCCCATTGGTGCTGATGACTCCCGAAGCGCCCAGCTAACAGCGCTTCCACGTTTGTTCCTAGTGCTCTACCCAATCAGCGCGCTGTGACTAGGGTACGTCGTCTTGGCCGCCACCCATACATATCTTGAAGGTCAATCCGTCACATCTGTCGCTAGCACAATAAGGCTCGTGTCTGAAATGTTACTGGCGTGATGAATAGGTCCCATGTTGGTTGATCCAAAAGTTTTTGCAGTCTTCGATAGCGTATTCATGTGCAATCCGATCACGGGACGACTTGTTCATTGACAGCTTAATAGAGATGGCATGACATCGTGACGGCTGCCCAATTTGTTAATTTCATGTCTCTGGATAACAATCTCATAGACTAAGTCTACATGTAGGCACTGGAAGCTAATTGTTTATCAAGCATGCTTTCCCAAGTGCTCTTTAGCATAGAGTACATCAATTTTCCTCAGCCATGATGCGGGCTCTCTCTGGCCGCGACATACTCCGCCCCATCTACCGCCCATCGGGCGCAGAAACCCCAGTTCATGGTTGATGATGCACTTATGCGTTCCGTAAAAAGACCCAAACACAGACCTAGAGAATCCCGTCGCAGCGGACTGTCATGCAAAATCCCACGCCGTGATTGATTGGCAGGCGCTGATGAGCTCGTATGGTATACTATAGTCTTCTGCCATGAGTGAGGTGGATACCTACTACCTACTACCTACCGATAATATGTTCGAGCGTGTTCAAGTTATAGTGTTGACGGCGTAGACCCGATTCCTGGCGGCTTCGGCAGCGGGCCTCTCTGGATGCGGTACGAAGGAATGGTTGCTATTTATTCCCCGGAATTGAGGGGTGCCGAATGTTGGAGTACGCGCTTTTGCAGAGGCTGCAGGGAGGGGATGGAATTAGGGTAGAGAAGCATGTGTATTGTACGGTAGAAGTCGAGATTGCATCCCTTTTGTAGAAATTACCTGAGTGAGTGTGGCATTATTTGTTTACCTAGAACATTTCAGGTTTATTAAACCGGTCGCACAGTCAAGATCTTGCTGTGTAACTTGTTGGGTCGGCTGGTAATGCCTCCATTGTCTACCTACCCGTGTTTGCCTAGTCTTTATTGAAGTTTCTCGCATCTTGTAAGCTTCGAAAAAAAGGCGAGATTACTTCTCTCTTTCAACCGAAATAAGTAGAGACCCATCCGTCTCTAGATCTCGACTGCTCCGAAAATGGTGCTCATCGAAATGTTAACTTTTGTTCATCTATCATTGCATTCCAGCAACTTGGCTAATAGACAGAAGCCCGCAAAGGCACATTGATGTCAAGGGTTCTCTGCAAGTAGGCCGCTTCTTCCGCGCGGGTCGTTTCCCTAATAGCTGCCAATCTCATGCAAGTGCCCGTAGGTATAGTCTCTCTGGATTAGGTGCTATTCCGCTCAAGACTTCCAGAGAGATCCCAGCAGTTTCTAGCAGCATAAGTCTGAGGTTTTCAGGTGCCTAGTGCCTCGCCCGCTACCATCTTATACACCAAGGCTAATTAAATGCTGAGGTCTTGAGAGATGCTCAGGCTGTCCCATTGGGCTCGTTGGAGGATTGTGAGACCCGATATCTTCGTATCCTTGCCATTGTAGAGCCAGTACAGCATCTTGTGCTATAATAACAAGGCATTCATTGCCCGGAAGGTACAAGACTCATCTCCAGGGCCAAGAACTAGTCACTAGGCGTTTTTTCCTTACACAGACACCACCCGTGAGGACGCATAGCAATAGCAGCAGATTCAGAAACTTATTCGTAAGGGCATCTTTCAGGGTTATCTCATGTGCGCATGTAACACTGTGCATTGCTTCGAAGGCTGGCTTTTTATACATACCAGTGCTAGTCGTAACCGATGATCATATTTATCACTCTTGACCCTCTTGCTACCCAAGAGCTGGATAGTGGCGGATCAACGGTCCCGAACTGAAGAGACAATGCCCGCAAATCTGAATATGTAACATCACACACTGCTCGGCACTCGGATCACCTCTGACAGAGAGGCCAACGAGTTTTCCACTGCTAGAGAGACGTCGTTTGGCCTCCCAGGAAGCCTATACCTTTGTCTTGCCAGTTGAATCCTCGAGACGTGTATGTCTCCCGAAGGTACATTACTCGGCGGCAAGCTCCACAGCGCCCCCGATTAGCTAGGCTCTGACATCTAAGATCTGCCAATGACAAAGTAGAACATCTGCTCGGTTAGCTCAGTTGGTTAGAGCGTCGTACTAATATTATATAAATGCTGTATAATATCGGTGATGCGAAGGTCATGAGTTCGACCCTCATACTGAGCAACACTCTTTCTAATATTCTCCCCTTTTTTTCTTTCCTTTTATACCGTTACTTGCCCACATCAAGAAGCTACAGCTCGACACTTGTTTTTGCCATTCTAGCTAGATTCGTTTCTTGAAACAAATAGTTGATCGCTGATATCACAATAGGTCTGCCAGTACCATAACCTAACATGCAATATGTAGCAAGCCCATCGGAACCGCCTCTACCCGGCATGTGTCGATTTAATATGGCTATACCTAGAAGTCTAAATTATTGTTCCTGCCCCGATGTTCAGGAGAGAAGATATGAAAGCCTAGGTACTGAGTTTGCAGTTTACGTCGTACTTTACTTGTTAGAGGGTCCTGACGTATATCCTCAAACGATTCAAATGTTAATTAATAGGGTTTCTGTCACTCGAAGTCCGTCAAGTCGAAGAGAGAACTTGAAAGCGAGGCAGACAGACAGAAGACTTATCTCGACAACAGGCAAACGATTGTCGACCTATGTAACCAAGGTTACATATATCATAAGTTACTGTATTTTTAGTCCTCAATCCGAGACATCAAGTTCCTGATTTGCCAATGATTGCATACCTGCAAGATAGACTAATAGCTCGGGACGGACTATCTACATACGAGATTCTTCATTATGCAGGAAGGTCTATATGGAAATAGTACGTTTGCTTCCATACTGTCAGTTCAGTTGTCACTAGGCTTATGGTTTGCATTGAAATCACATCGAGAGAACGAAGCTTATAAGGGTGTTTTGGTAGTAGCCAGTGACGAGGTATCTAATTACTAGCCGGCACAGGTTGTCTCCCTAAGCCAACAGTTCCGGTTTTGTCCTGATATAATAGCTGCAAGGCAGTTTCTAGTTTCGGATCGTCCAATGGTATGACTTATGTAAGTCACTCTATATCATACTAATACTAATAACATTGCTAAACCCATATGTTCAGTTTAATGCAAGTGTTTAAGTGTATAAATGTGTAGGTGTGTAAGTGACGGCAGGTGGTGCGCAGACAACTCCAGCTTGAGCCTATGATATCTTAGGTACCTAGGTAGTCTTTTGTAACCCCTTGAGAAGTCTAACTTACCTGCTAGGAAGGCGCGTTTGTGGCCACATAATCGAGTAAGTGTGCCTTCCGTCTTGAGTTGATATTACTCTAAAACTTTAGGCAAAAAAGAGTAACTACTTTGATTTCTTGCCTTGTGTCTTCATCGTGTCTGCTCATCCGCCCCTCCGCCCCTCCTCGCCTTTTTCATCGGAACCTATCAACGAAGGAATACGCTTCGCAATCATATTTCTAGCACCATTGTCCACCACTTTTACGTCGAATTCTATTAATTTGCCGTCTCCCTACTACACCTTTCACGTCATGGCAGCAGAAAAATCAGGTAGAGGCAGTGCAAAGCTGCACAAGTTCGAACCCATTGACTATTCCGTGGACTCGCAGGCCTCTGCTGTTATCCAGTCCAACTTTCTGGCTCTCCTTCAAGATTCGCAGGATTCGCAGGTTGAATTGGCTGATTGGCACAATGACCACAATGACCACAATGACCACGATGACCACGGTGACCACGGTGACCACGGTAACCACAATAACGGCGGTAGCCAAGATGACACAGATACAGCGTCCCAGATAATACAGTCGACTAAGCCCCCTTTCCTCCGCCGTCCAGAGTTTGAAGACCCCGAGGATTTTCGAGACGCCTTTAAATACGCCAAACCACCAACTTCCCAGACTCTACCGGCTCATTCGAAAGCACTCCGAAAAGGCTTAGATCTCGAGAGCGATCCCAAAAATGACACGAGAGTACGAAGCTGGGGTACTTCCCATGACTTTGGCCGCCTAATGACTGGCCACCCTTTGAACCACCCCAAAAGTATGCGTGGAACAGGGACACGGGGCGATGAAGTAGCATCAAACCCAAAAATAAAGGAATCCGATGCAGCACATACTCCTAGTGGTTCTCTCGATACAGCAGGTACAATGCGTGACGACCATCAACCCGAGAAGCAAAATTCCGGAGCCGCTCAGAATGGTTCACTACCGGGGCCACCGATACAGAGTACTTCTCCTTTCAACAAAGCTTCGGCTTCCGCCAGACAGCCTAGGGCACATGGCCGATCTCCGGTCACCCAACTAGAGAGATCTAAGCTCCCCAAGGCTTTCTCTGACATCCAGCGTAAAGCTCTGATCCAAACGACTCATATGAATAACCATGATCGATCGGAACGTCTGTCGAGATCTCGAGTTGATAAAGTGTCCCCGTTCCGATCCAGTAAGGGTGCATTGCACAAATGCTTGACTAAGACTCGGGAGTCGTTTCATACTAGCATAGATCAGCGTCACGAACAGCCCACTGGAGATCTCATATTCCATGACCCTCCACAGACTCCCAATAACCATGCACCGCCCAAGAGATCTCGAATGAATCGATCTAACGCTGTGAATACAACTCGCCCAATTACCCAGGAGTCGCACATAAGTTACAACACGGGTCCACGACCTGCATCACAAACATCCAACATATCCAAACCACGAGCGCCTCGGCAGTGGGAACGCAAACATATACGGAGAGGACATCCTAGTCCAACTTTGGAGGAGAGCGATGCACGGTTCAAGTTTCTCAGCCACGCATGGAACGATTATTTCACTTTCAATGCCAATCGAAATAAGCACTGGGAGGCGAAATTTGAAACTATGGCTGAGCAAATCGCTGAGCGGGATACCAGGCTTGAAGAGTACCTTGCAGAGCTTCGAAGGAAGGACCAAACTATCGAAGATCTCAAAGCTGCGAATGAGGGAGAGCATCATGCCCTATACCAACAGCAAGAGGTTGCCCTCGCCGAGTCAGAAAAGCTACGAAAGAGACTACGAGGAAAGATGAAAGAGTACAAAGATCGCCTCAACGACAATACCAAAGAGCAGCAAAATATATTCCAGTACTTCAAGGATAAATATCAGCAAATTGTAGACCAGATGAGAAAGGAAGAACAGAACCATCATGCTTCGCTCGAGAAAGCCCTTTCTGTCACTAATGAAACGAGGAATGGTATCCAACAGAGTGTGGAAGAGGTTCAAACACTTTCTCAACAGGAGATACAGAAGCGTAAGTCGGGGTTGTTGTACTCGTTTATACGAATATATGGCTAATTTGCTCTAGTGAACCTGGAAATCGAGGCACTCAGGGTTCAGTTAACAGAGCGCGAGAAGGAAGTCGACCGTGAGAAGGACCATATAAACGATATTCGTCAGGAGCTGGCGGAGTCAAACGAAGTCAACAGAACTGCCCTTGAGTCTCTGAATAAGCATAATGAGCAGCTTATTACGAAGAGCGACCAGGGAAGCATCCAGCTCCAAAGTGTGATGCAATGCATCAACGACCAGGACCAGAAGTGAGAAATGATGCAATTCATCGTGGGAAATGAAACTAATTGGCTTAGGATACAATCTATGCTGGGATTTTTGAAAGATAATCAAGCGGCCATTACAAGCCCTTCAGACTTGATCGAGAGTTTGAAGGTGCTACAAAGTGAAGCAGTTAACTCGTAAGTAAACTAATAAGTATTGACAACTGCTGGAGATTGTTGACTGGATGGTGACTAGTGTTCTTTCGGAGCTTCGAGAACATGTAGCATCAGACCGTGAGCTGTCCTTCAAAACTACGGAAAGCTTGAAAACGGACATTTCAGCCGTTCGCGAACTATGTAACGAGCTCAACAAACAGCTACAAAATAATAAGAAGGCCTCGGAATGGCAAGAGAAGTTTGGCAAGGTTCAGATGGACCACCAAGCTCTGCTCCGGGAGACAGACTGGATTAAAGAAGAACTTACTAAAATGCGTAATGAAGCCGAGACACAGCTTGAACAACGTGAAAGCCTTCAGCAAGAGCTTACTATTCTGAGAACCACTGCCAAAGCTACAGATGACACTAATAAACGAGCCGAGAAGCTGGAGAAAGCAAAACAACAACTCCAGAACTCTCTGAATGAAAAGGAGACATGCATACAGAGATTGGAGGACAAGTTTAAAGGGGTCAACGAAGCCTTGAGTGCCCAGAATCGTCGGCTCAAAGACCGGGAGCGCGAGCTCAACAGCGAGCGCAAAAAGCACACAGAGGAAATCGCCAGTTACTATAAGCAACGAGAACAGGAAGTCAAGCAGGCAATAAACGAGGGGTCTGCGAAAGCTAGAGCGGAATATCAGCATATGCAGAAGCACCTGCAAGATGCGGAGAAAGAGCGTGCACGACTGCAAGAGGAACTCGTCCAGGCAAAGCGAGACACTGAGGACGCTCTCAAAAATAGTTGCAGCGACGAGGACACAAGGCAAATGAAAGAGTCATTGACATCGACCATGAAGCTGGTTCAAAAGCTTTCGGAAGACTTACAGGCAGCTGAGCAATCCAAAAATAATCTCAAAGCGAAACTAAAGGCGTGGTCCGACGAGCATATCGAAGTCTCACTACTACAGCAGGTTGTCCAAAAACTAGCCAAGGACCAAGAAGAAGCCATTCAAAAAGGTGAGAAGCTGTGGGAGCTTTTAGAAGTACAGAAGAAATTGGACAAAACATGGGAGTGGCACAAATCAGAGGTCGATTCTCTTGAGCAGAAAATTGATTTAGAGAACGAGAGGATTAACAAAGCTAAAAGTAACAGAGCTGGCCGCTCTAGTCATCAGGTTGAGGATGCACCGGCGACATCACAAGATGAGATTCGCCGTGTGACTATCCAATCCCCCATGCTCGTCGACGGTAACAACGAGATCACGGCGCCTGTATCGGTCGAACAAGAACGAGTCATCAGGAGACAGGCTGCTACACTAAGGGGCATCATGAAGCCAGGTGTTGCTAGTGCTGAAGACGGACGACCAGAAGAGCAAAACCACAGGACACCTCTAGTTTCCAATACTGCGCAGACCGGGATGGAATCAAAGCGACGGGTCGTAAATCGTGCTATGAAGTCGGTTCCAGTCTCACACAGTGCATACAATCGGCCAGTTCTAGGAATTCC